TTTTAGTGTGAAAACCTGTAGTGTTTATTCGGCTTTATGACTTGCTTTCTGCTTCTGCAGATTTATCCAGTTTGCCTTCTGCGTCTCTAGCCTTATTTTCTGCTACAGATAAAACACTTCTTTCACTATTTTCAACATTCTTGACRAACAAAGGTTTGAAGATGTACACTCCAGAAAGAACTCCAACCAGAGTTGCAATGAATAACTGATTCAAAGGCAGTTTCTTGACTGTAGCAAAAACCATCACTATCTACAATTAAAAAAACATTGAAAACTKTATGAGAAGTTAGAGAAAATTGAAGAATATGGCATATAAACTTATACAAACTTTCCAATCTTGAGCAGCTCCTTGAAATATGAGCCCACAGTTGATTTACAGCGGTAGTCACRACTAGTCCTAGTCTTTTTGAGAAGCAAGCAACGCCTGTCGTTTTTTCACTRAAATGTCCTACAAACTTCACTAGGAGATTTTGTCAGTGTATTTCTATYAATTTTGACAGTAACATCAGCAGATGCTAGACAAATGGGAATTCTATAATGAAAAGAAGATTCACAAAAACGGAAAACGAAGAAAAATCTAACCCAAATTCGGAATGCAACTCATTTTCAAGAGTGTCTTCCTCAARTGTCATTTGTCTTCTTGTTGTTTTTAGGATTTTCAACTCTCTAATTGTACAAACTTGGTTTGTTCCAGATGAATTTTGGCAGGGACCAGAGGTGGCRCATAATCTGGTATTTGGTTATGGATATYTGACCTGGGAATGGAAAGAGGGTTTGCGTGGTGTCTCTTTCCCTCTCATGTTTGCGGGAGCTTTCAAAATCCTCCAGATTCTGGGACTTGACAGCAGAAAWGCAATAATACTAGCACCACGTCTTCTTCAAGCTGTGCTTGCGGGATTTGGAGACTTCTWTGTGTTTAAATTATCAGGAAAGTTATTTGGACAAGCTAGTGCTAAATGGTCTTTGCTTTGCAATATTCTTTCATGGTTTACATTCTATTGCATTACAAGAACTCTTACAAACTCCACAGAAACTGTCTTCACAACTATTGCTTTATACTATTGGCCTTGGAATCTCAAGTCTTTCAAAGACACAAACTCCAGTCTTGATTTAGCTTTGGTGTTTGCAGCCTTTTCTTGYCTCATAAGACCAACATCAGCTGTTATATGGCTTCCTTTAGGGCTATGTTTATTTGTTGAATGCAAGGAAAAAATCACCTTTATTTTCACCAAGGTTTTGCCTATTGGGTCTTTAGCTATATTATGGTCTGTCTGTGCTGATAGTTTGTTTTATGGTAAATTGACAATTGTTCAAATGAATTTTGTGATGTTTAATGTTGTTAAAGATATGGGRACATTCTATGGAAGTCATCCATGGCAYTGGTGAGTATGGGCTTTGTAAAAATGTAAAATATTCCTGTCAKTTTATCCTTTCAAACCAGCCAATCTATTCAATTTTCAAATTTCATAATGCTGTCTTTATTTCYTAAGACATCTTTAGTGTCAGTGCTATTCTGTTGTTTCTACATTGTATCAGTAGCAGTAGGTTATTAACTATAATTTCTATTAAGAAGTGGTCTTATTCTCTATCTTTGTTTATAGGTATTTTACTCAAGGTTTTCCTATCATTATTTTTACTCATCTACCATTATTCTTGGCTGGAGTTTATTATTCTAAAGAAAAGCAAAGGTTTCCAGTCTTATTGATTACTTGGGTTATTACTGTCTACAGGTAAKTGTCAGACTATATAAATATTAAAATATTTCTTCTTCCAATTCTACAYCTTGGTATATATGAACAGATCTTTGCCCCTTTGATTCTGACCATATATTCAAATGTACCTTATTGGGTTAAAATAATGCATTGCCATGTATGTTACCACCCAATTCCATGCAATCTTATGGGAAAAAGACTTTTGTTTCTAAGAATTCAGCTTTACYCTCAGGTAACAACGCATTAAAGTTTAGGACTGTTGCRATCAATATTAACCACRACATCCACCATTGATTTCAGTTTCCTTGGCCACAAGGAGTTCAGGTTTATTTTTCCTATTCTTCCACTATGTATRTGCTACTGTGGCTACTACATYAGCACSCTTACYACTGATTACACACAGAGCAAAAACTCAAAAATATTCAAGTACAATTGGTCCATGGTAATTACTATATTCCTGTGCATCACTAACATCCCTGTGGCTTTGTACACTGCATTGGTACATCA